TATTATACTCTTTATGAAGTTTCCAAGGCTTCTCAACTTGAAATGAAAACTTACAGACAATGTTTCTTCCTTTGTCAACAATAGCAATATCTGTCACCCCTCCCCTGTGTCCTTTCATTGTCACTGGACATGTGCCATCAATAGCAGACCATATTCTGATAGTCATATCAGCTCCACCACTTGCTACTACTTCACCAGATGGAAAGAATTTGCAACAGTTGACATCAGAGATGTGACTGCTTAAATTACACTGTAAAATATAGACATAAGGAATAAGGAAGTAAGTGAATGACTAAGATGAAGTAAAAATAGATGAAAATGGGAATCTGATTTCCCAGGAAACATATGGAATAACATATAGTAACAAGTGAAAAATGAAGGAATGTCTTACCCTCTTTGTCCCATCACTGGTATTCCACACTGTTAATTCTTCATCATCACTTGACGTCACACATAACCCACCTCCAGGAGAGATGTCTATGAATCTAATCTGAGGGATGAAAGATATTCACATGAGGGATTTTAAAATTTCTAACCTTATACCAGTAGGTTTCTTACACATTTTTTGTGAATTCCAGTGAAGACTTTTGAAGGAGAGATTAAACTAGTAGTATAGTTTACGTCAGGATGGCAAACTGTGATTGAATTCTGTAAAAGAAATTCCAATCAAAATTAAATTTACATGAAACTACTGCATTAATTTATTTTAACACTCGAGAGTTTCATCTCAAAGTAATATTGTAAAGAATCAAGTCATTTGATATGCTTACATTATCCAGTGAAAGAACTTGGAATCTTTCTGTAGCCTGGACAGATTGGCTTTCATCTTCCTGATACTTTAGTTCCCCATATATTGATGGTTTACCTATTAAAATATACTTATTAGATAAATATTAGGGATAATGGGATATAGATATAGATAATGAAATGGTGGTGATGCAGGATGACTATGAGATGATATATGATAATGACTGATGATGGTGATGATGATATGATGATGATGATGATATGATGATGATGATGATATGATGATGATGATGATATGATGATGATGATGATGATATGGTGATGATTTTGATAGTGGTGATGATAATGGTGATGGTGGCAATGGTGATGTTTGATGATGATGTTGCTTGATGATGATGGTGATATTGATAACGTTGATGGTGATGATAATGATGCTGATACCGATGATAACTTAATGATGATAGTGATAATATGCACTTAAGATATTCTAGCCAACGACTTGTACAGCTGAATGACCATTCGTTCACTAACCTAGACATGAACAAGCTATCCATGCTTTCTCACCATTTCTGGAAAAAACACACACAGAAAACAGCTGTTATAAATATGCAAACAGAATATAACTTTAAACAAAATATTCATAACAATTATGAATCGCAACAAACCAAATGGATTGATTGTATTATTTCAATAATGAAATAGATTTTTTTCTTTTCAATAAAAGTTCATGACACTAACACGACACAGGTATCCCAAACATTATTTTGCAAAGGTTTAAAAATACATCACACTAGAGAAACTTTCCCGATACTTTCTTTAGATTATACTGCAAGAGAATAATTCTAAAGATCTTATAGTTTACCTAAAAGCGTCTTTCCAATCCCACTGGATGGATAAACGAGGGATTTCCTGTACGTCTAAAGAAACCTCCATTTCGTCCGCCATCTTGAAATCTTTATAAAATCCCCAAAGTGAGGCAATATGATACTAAATCATACTGTGAGGGGGTGGGAGAGCAGATTAATTGCTATCTACCCGTACTTTTAAAAATATTCTTTCTCTTTCTTTTGTTCTTTTTAAATTAACTTACATACATACTTATTTGTTATTTTTTAATACTAAAATAGTTTGAGGGAAAAAGTTGAATTTTTAAGCCGTTGTTCCATTTTTCTCCTCCCCACCCTCCCTCGTTTCAAGGTTGCCATGCCAAAGGGTACGCTATGTCGTAGTGAGTTATGTGAAGGAATCTTATTTATTTTCTATCGGATTTTTCATAAACTGATTGTACAAGTCGACATTCACTTCAATAGACTTGATCTCAATTGTATTTATTTTTTTTATGTTGAAGGACTTTTCTTGTCAATGTTGGTTTTTGTGATGCTAATGATGTGCGCAATATATTCCTTACAAAAGACTGCTGGTGTTTACTTGTTGAAATCCTAGTTCACTAAAGACTCCATGCTGCACGACATCACCTCTTTATATCCCTAGCTAATCGTGTTGGAGTACAGAGGTTAATCTGTAGTATTCATCTTGGTAAAATTTTCGTCGTTCAGGTAAGAATCGTTTGAAAATAGTACTTTTTTCAGTTGTTAACAGTTGTGCGAAACTCTACAAGATTAATATCATCACCGCATGTCTTTTAGCGTGCCTTTAAGGGCTATTATAACTATCAAAACGTCTTGCTTTTAATGTGTGAATACCTCTAAGAGATTAATTATGAGAACAGCTGTAAAGCTTCAAGAAAAAAAGATTATTTCTGATCCAAGCGTAATAATATAATTAAGCTAAATGAGCACTGGAATGGAGTTGAGAACGCTTTACAAAAGTTTGGATTATTTAATGATGCGGTTGTCTATTGTAATCAAAAAACATTTACCATCTGCCAACAAAATATGTAAGTGATTTTGTCTTTGTCTTAAATCATTTATCCATTTTAATATAAGTAAGAAGACACGTAAGATTGTTTTCATTTCTAGGGTTTTGTGGTTCTTTCCCTAGGGAATCGTAAAATTCAAGGATTTGGAACCTGTTGTCTTTAGCGTCTGTTTGCTAAATTCATCAAATGTACTTCAATACATCAAGACTTTTAATATCTTCCCGGTAAAAAGGCTGCAGGATAGGGAATAAGGAGAGTCAGTTCTCTTCGAGCTCCCAGACCGGGAGTAGAGGAGATATTTACATCGTACCATCCCATGAAAATGGTTTTACCAAGACACTTCATGACCTCAACTTCGATGACAACCAGAATGTGATCAGGTAATGGATATCAAAACTTCTCTTTTGTTTTGTTGTTTGGAGTATGAGATTTAGCTTTCACAGCTGGTGAGGTAGAAGAGTTTTATGCAAGAAACTCGCAATAAAAGTTCGTAAAAAAATTCTTTGATTTCCAAGAACTTAGTTTATTTATTTGTACACTGGCTGGGTTTGAAGTATCTATTTTCCAGTAAAAAAGAGCAAATGGTTTGTCATTTTGACATCATTTAAGAAATAATTTTCGCTTAACTTCAGTCGCAGTAGGGGACCCGACTAGACGTTTCTTGAAAATCATTTGAACGAGTTCTTTTTACAATGCTGGGAAGCCATTCAAATGCTTATCAAACATTCAAGTGCTCTTAGGGCACCTTAGTGGCTTCCAAGATTGATTTTACGGCTTCGTATTAAAATCTTTATTGTAATGTTCGTAAAATTTTTCTTCAGATCACAGAAGTTGCAAATGCATGACTTGTTGATCCTTGACTTTTTTGTTTTGATTCAATTTTCTCGAAAATTGTAGGCGTTTGGATTGCCATTTATTCACAAAACAAAACAATTATCCTAATAATTAACTTCGGAATTAAATGGCTTATTTCCCTATTTTTCTAAAATTTGAAGAATATGTTATTTCATGGGTTTTTCTTAGCTTTTTATTTTTTAATACATTTTATGAATAATTTATCGAAATTGGTTTAAAAAGTTTCTAAGGAAATCAGGTTTATTTGAGACACAAGATGATTTGTACATTGTAATTTTTTTTTATAATGTACAAAGGAAGACCTGATGTTTTTTATACGTTCCTCAACTTTTGACAAATTTCAATGCTGTTCATCCTTGTAGATTCTAAATAACAACTGGAGTTTTATTGTTGAGAAGAATGGTTTTTTTATTTTGCTATTTATTTTATTTGATGAAAATTTAAACACTTTTTTGAGTTGTTTTCTCAGTGGCACATAATGAGGTTTTTAAATTTTTCCATTGGTTGTCTTTGAATTGACTTGATCTTTTTGGTATCAAGTAATAGTAAATAATCAATTAGGTTTTTTTAAGACTAACTATGAACAAAGAAAAAGCAAACTTTGCAACTCATTCTTGGACTTGGTCTTCAAATCATTAGTGAAAAGAAAAAAATATCAAATATCTTGGCTTCAACCTCAGCTGTTTTAGATCTATCTTACTCAGAATTGTCTAGGAAGGTATCAAAAATAAGCTCACAGTGGTGTATTGAAGAAAAGGATTGAGACATTTCTTTCTGCAACACTTATTGTATTGTATGGTGCAATGAGTATTGTGGGGTGTTGTCATACAAGTGCTTCATCAAGTGATGTTGAAAAAGAATTGAGTTCTTGTATAACAACATTTGAGTAAGTCATAAGAAATTTTGGAATATTTTGCTTCTTTTTTCTTGTGTTCAAATTTAGTTTGTGAAAAAGAATGTTAATATATATTGGAATGATAAAGTAAGATGGAATTGATTATTGACTCAACAGTCATCCTTTATATAGACCTATAACTGTAGAAAAAAAATTCAGCTAGATGTTATCCATTCTGGGGGGGGGGGGTTGTGGGTGTACTCGCATGTAAAAGAGGCATGGATAATTGTCGAAAAACAATTTCAATGCCTAAAAGAGAGTTTGGGTATGATTTTGGGTTAAGGAGGTACCATTTTGAAACACAAGATAACCTATTTAACTCAGTCAAATTCAATCCATATGTATCTTCTCATGGGCAACTGTTAGGCAAAGAAATATTACCCAAAGGAATGACACATGATCTGAATTTTAAAGCAGTAGGTGAATAAGGTATACTCTTGATTTGTTTACTCTTTACCATTATGCTTTTATCTTTTTTCAGGTCACTTGCTGAGGTTAACACATTATCATCTGATGAAGGTCCATTACGATGGGTTCCTGTTGTAGAGAACGTTATTCCTATCATTATACAGAGGAAAAAAGTAAGAAAGGTTTTTTGTCATGAAGGGAGGGATGGCTGGGGCAGTTTGTTCATCTGTGTCTGCCATTGATGTTTCAGGTTGGAACAGAAGAAGTGTTTGAAGTAAATGCAACAACCAGCAATGGAACACTCTTCAACACTGAAATCAACTTAAAAGGTAATAATAATAACACTGATGATGATGATGATGATGATAGTGATGATGATGATGTTGATGATAGTGATGATGATGTTGATGATAGTGATGATGATGATAATGATTGTGATGATGATGATGATGATGATAGTGATGATGATGATGATGATAGTGATGATGATGATGTTGATGATATTGATGATGATGATAATGATTGTGATGAATGGTGATGATGATGACAGTGATGATGATGATGATGTTGATGATGATAGTGATGATTATGATGAAGGTGATGAATATAGTGATGATGATGATGATGATGATTGTGATGATGATGATGATGTTGATGATGATAGTGATGATTATGATGATTGTGATGAATGGTGATGATGATGACAGTGATGATGATGATGATGTTGATGATGATAGTGATGATGATAGTGATGATTATGATGATTGTGATGAAGGTGATGATGATAGTGATGATTATGATGATTGTGATGAACGGTGATGATGATGACAGTGATGATGATACTTGATGATGACGATGATGATGGTGATGATGATGGTAGTGATGATGATGGTAATGATGATGTTGATGATGATGATGGAGATGATGATGTTTAACCAAGAAGGCTAGCTCACCAAACTGTTTTTCAGAGTAGCCTTGCCAGTTGACATGAAGCTTATTTTTCCTAAATAAACTTGAACATGCTTATGTTAACCACAGAGATACGGCTAAAGAAGACTTCGGAGTGTTTTGTGCAATGGAGGAATCGTAAATCAAGTAAGATCTTACGACTGTAAAAATTAAAATACATGATTCGTATTTATCATGACCACCTCATAATGTCAGTTGTCATGGAAATATGTTGTCATAGTGACGCGTTTCTCGATTATATTCTAGAGAATGCTTGGGGACTGAATTTCATCTCTGAAGAAGAAGCTAAAAAGTTTATGGACTTTTGCTATGTAAGTATTATTTATTCTGTGTTTCTCATTTTCTATTCATTCATTTTCTAAAAGTTTTCATTTCACTTCCATTTGTTTATTTCTTGTTTGTTTTTGCAGAATGCACGCGTTCGTACGTGGTCTTTGAATTCATCCTCTACATCGCATCAAAGCTCTTCTAATAGTAAAGTAAACACACATGCTTAGCATTAACTAGGGTTCTTGTTGGAAAGCTTTAAAAATCGCATTGGATTCAATATCTTATCTATCTTTTTATTTCATAGCGTTCGACGACACCTAAAGAATCAAAGTCCCCTTCTACCCAAACGAACGAGAACAGCCCATCTACCAAACACAGCAACACACATGTCAACAGTAAAGATGAACACTATGGAAGTAATAACACACTGGTTTCCACGGATACCAGTGTTAGTTCCCATGGTAACACCAGCGACAAAAGTAGTATACCTGGATACCTTGAAACAGCAACGACTCCCGCGAGGAGTCACCATAGAAACGCTGGTTTCCAGAGTAACGTGTTTTTAGCAACGAAAAATAACGAGAGTTTTGTTTCAAGTGGTGGGCAAGACAGTGGATTTGGTTTGGAAGAAGAAGAGAATGCAACCGATAGTAATTCAAGGCCTTCATCCCGTGTATCGTTACAGGCGGGTCATAATGAACTCACGTCGTCCTTTAGCGATGACATTGATCGGTCAGTTGACACTAGTGGAATCCGTCATGAAAACAGTGCTTCTGCTCTGGAAGACTCGACAGAGATGAGTTACTACAAGGAAATTGAAAGATTAAATCGTGAAGAATCTTTGGTAAGTGACGTTGTGACCAGCGTTGTTTCTAGTTTCCATGGTAACCCCAGGAGGGATTTTTTCACCGCATTTATTTGAACACTTTTTTGCGGCCCAAGTTTTAGTTGCACGAGTAAAAAAGTAGAGCTCTACGTTACCACACTTTCCCTCTTAAACCTCTTAAACGTTTCACTTATGAATTGCTGCAATGCAATTTGTCGTGACAACTGTTGTATAACATTTCTGCCAGTGCGCTCAAGCAGATTCAGGGCCTTATAATTCAAATAGCCTTTTGCAGAAACGAGTGAGGGTTTTAGGCTCAGTAACATATAAACAGAAAACATATCAATGTGTAAGAGCCCTTGTTAGTATACTGTTCCCAGGAAGGATTTCAAAACAGGAAAGCAGAGTTTTACTTTCAGATTGTTAGCAAAAAAAATATTCGAAAAGAAAAAGTAAAAACATATCCGGATAAGGTGGGATTCGAACTCCCACTTCTGTCAGGAGAAATGTAATTAATTCCAAAAGTAAGCCTTGATTCCACTTTGCCATACCCCCGAGACATCCGCAGAGCTGGGGCGTCGTATGGACTTCGGACCTGACGACGATTAAATCCTTCTGCCCTTGGGTGTACGAATTACGCAAGAAAATGTTCTAGCCGAAGCATCAGGGGAGAGACCAGCCGGCCCCCAGACCATATCGGCTAATCCCTTGCATCTCTGCCACGCACGGAATCGATTGAAAAGTAGATGTTAAAAAGTCTAGTCTATACTGTGCATTGATTTAACTGCCATTGTTGTGCTAATTTCTTGGAATCGTGGTCCAGTGGAAAAAACTTGGGCTTCCAAAACACTGAGTCAAGCCCGGTTGAGGGAGGTTGGTACCTGGATGGGTGACCTGAAACTTATACCTACTCAATTTTTTTTATTTTATTTTTTCATTTTTATTAATATATATATATATATTTTAAATCACAGTATTTGATTAAAACTCTACCGTTTTTGCTCGCAACTTCTCATAGCGTAACTGATATTTTACCCAACGTTTTGTCAGGTCTCTGAGTTTAACACCCAGTTTCCAATGCCCTTCTGTCAAGACCAGCGGAATTTATTTCACATCCTTGTTTCTTCTTTGTTTAGGAAATCTCTGCTTCTTTTCATGATGATAACGACCTGGGCAGCAGTTCTGGTATTGAAACAGACGTCAAACCAAGATCTGGTATCGCGCAGTCGCGCCAGGGTGGTGGAACACGTAAAGCAGGCTGGTTATCTGGCAAACACGTGTTCACGAGAGGAAAAGGCAATAAGATAGAACTAGCGTCAGACAGAAAATGGAGAAAATACTGGATGACTTTGAAGAGTGCAGCCCTGAATTTCTATCAATGTAACGAGAAAACAGTCAGCGCGCAAGATCTCGATGACCCGAGTTTTTCTCTAGAGATTGATTCGTGTATTGCGCAAGCAGTCCCCGAACACGCTAAGCTAGATCACGTGTTCAGCGTCAGTACGAGGCTTGGAGAGGCTTATTACTTTCAGGTATGTGACAGTTTCTAGGGTGAGGGGCTGGGGAGAGGAAAAAAGAAAAGGACGATCATCTTTCCTTCCAGCTATTTTACGGTTGGCAGCTTATTTACCGCTGCATAAAGTAAATAAACTTTTCCAACTTCAATCTTCTCGCAGGCAGCCAACCAAACTGACCTTGAGAACTGGATTACAGCTGTTCATTCCATGGCTGCATCACTTCTAAGTGGATCGAGACAAAAGAGTAAAGATGAAATGATTCAAATCCTGAACGAGAGAATCAACCAAGTCAACGAAAAGATTGCTTCAGATTCGAGACTCAAGAAGATGGCCGAGCTTCAATCCACTGTCGTGACGGACTCTAAAATGAAGCAGCAGTTCTCTGAACAGGTTCGTTAACAATTACGATACATTACTTTTGTGTTTCTAAACTGGTGCGCAAATTTCAATAAGCATGCGCAGATATGATAAACTGCTGTACATGAATACTGATACACATGGGTATTATTTAAGGCATGCGCACACATGGTAAACTGCTGTACATGAATACTGATGCACATGGGTATTATTTAAGGCATGCGCACACATG